CCCCAAAACCCCAAAACCCCAAAACCCCATTAGAATATTATCGAAAATAATTTAAGGAAATAAAATTTAATTTTTAAAGTAGTTATACCAATATGATTTAACAATTTCACAGTTTTGAGGAATTCAACAACTTAGTCAAACTCATATTATTATGCTATAAAGTCTTGTCCAAGTTAGATTCACTTAACATAGAAGCGTTACTTATCAATTTTCCATCTCCCTTTTTAAGGTATTTGGGACTTATTTAAGGGATTATGTGGCAACTCGAGAGCACATTTTGGGAGACTTCATAGTAATTTTCAGGAATTTCCCTCTGCTTAATCTTCTTCCCGTGATCATCTTCCTCTTTATCAACTATTGCACTCACATCAGTGATACCTCTGTTAAGCTAAGTCAAAGAAGTACTTCCTTTTTTCATTTGAGATTAGTCAGGATTATCAAAGCGCAACAATTTTGTAGTTTTCTTTTCAATTTTATGGAGCTAAATAGTTCTCAAGTCATTAAGAACCTAAGAATGCGCCTGACCTTCTAAGTTGTAAGTTTAATTAGATGAAGTCTGTGGCTTCTATTTAGCGAGCAATGGATTTTAGAAAGTTAGGGGCTAGAGCTTTTTAATGCTAGAGGCTCTTTTCATAGAATTAATGTCTCTATTGGTATATTAACCAGGTCCCATAGTCTAGTAATGATTTTCTCTTTGCAAACTTACAGGCTTCATTATTCTCAAAGTCATTGCTGCTTTGAAGTGTGTTTTATTATGGAGATCTGGTCTTAATTGCTTTGGATTCATGGCGTTAAAGAACTTTTCAGCTGAGGTGCTTAATTTGACCTTGCCCTTTTCAGGTGTCGCTTATGTGTTGTCAGCTTTTTTATTAGTCTTGCCACCTTTATACTCAGATTAAGTATCCATGGTCACACTCAAGTCATTTTAATTATCCTTGCCAATTTAGACTTGATTTTGCTTAAGATCAGGCAGACTAGCTGTCATTTTACTGAAGAAATTACTGAATAAACCTCCATATGCCTAGGTGTGCCCCATATTGGAATCTTTGTTGTGGCCATTTCCTTTCCTCCTGTCCCCGTTCTTATTCCAACTTTCATTGGTCCTTCCAAAATCTTAAGTTTTATCACCCCCTACCATTATGCTATTCATCAAAGCATCTGCTACCTTCTCCAGAGTGTTCTTAGCAGTGTATTTCATCTCTGGCTGTATTTCCTTATCTGCTTGTCTTTCCCTCATCTAGCATACCTTGTTTTTATCATTGAATGCTTCAAAGAAATAGATTTTATTTTTATCTTGAGTTTCCTGTATTCTCTGTCTTTCACTTTACCATCGATTGGGAGAGATTACTTTTGGGCCTAGATTTTTATCATTGTCCACATCTCTGAAATTGTGCTCTTAAGGTTTATACTTGTTAATTACCATTGGCTTTTCCTCCATCTACAGAGTATTATCATTGATTGATGAATATTACATCATGAAGAAACTTTTCTACTCTCCTCTAATAATGCCCTGCCAGCTCATCTCGTTTCTTGAGACTTTTAAGTTGAAGCTTGTACTCAAATTAATCCTTTTTATCTAAGTCCTCCAAAAACTTCTACTTTTTATCCAACTGATATACATTCAACATTTTTATAATATAATCTAAATAAAATTGTTTCTAAATTCCCAATGTCTAGACTCTTGGGGTTTTGGGGTTTTGGGGTTTTGGGGTTTTGGGG